CTGCCGGGCACTGCTGCGGCGGCGGCGACACCGAACTCCGACGACATGATCTTGTTCAATCCAGGCGCTCACCCTTCATGTCACGTGAGCTGGGATCGGCGCGGGAGTCCACCTGGCATATCATAAGTGGGCTGCCGATAGCCAGAGGGGCTTGGCAGATTAGTGATCTGGGTGGGCTAAGTGGGCTCCGCCCACGTAGCGGAGTGACCCTCCCCCTATGCCACTTTGGGCATGTGTAACCCACTTAGAACCCAGGTTGGGCCACACATGACCACTGTGGCATCCGCTCATAGCCTCCCCGTCCCCTGAACACACCGCCGCGCCGATCCCAGAGTGCACGTTCGCTTGCTTTCCTTCCGCCCCGTCTCCTCCCTTTCCCCCCTCCTCCCTCCGCTCCTCCTCCCCCCTCCTCCTTGGTCTGTTTCGTGCGCCCTGTTCTGCTGCGCCGGCCGCAACGTGTTGCTGTGTTTCTCCGCCTGTGCCATATGCGGCCGCCCCTCGCGGGCATACAAGCCTGACTTGACTCGACTTGACCTGGCTCCCCCTTACACGGGACCAGGGACACACCAATCAAATAGACACAACCCCCCGAACCCCAAACATGTTCCATTACTTTCTGGAATTGCGTCTCTCCCTCTGCATGTTGTCCTGGGGATCGACGTTTCATTGTGTCCCTGTGTTCTTTCCCCCTCCTGATTCATGTCGACCCCGGGGGTGAGCAGCTCTGGGCCCAGGGACCATCAAACATGGATTTGGGTTTCAAAAAAGCCACCACCCCCGGGAAAGGGTCGGGAGCCGTGGGGCGGCACCTTCCCAACAACTATCCTGGCGAAGGACCCAACCAGATGCACTTGTGAGTACCGCAATTGTGAATCTCTTCTTCGGTGGAGCTCCCTATGGGGCCACGAAGCGCGTACTGGGAAGGGGGGAGCGCATGCGGGCGGTAGCACTGGGGCCGTCGGTAGAACTCCCTATGGGGCCACAGAGCGCTGAACTGTGTGGGGGGGGGGGGGGGGACGCATGCGGGCGCTGAACTGGGTGGTGGGGGACGCATGCGGGCGGTAGCACGGGGGCCGTCGGTGGAGCTCCCTATGGGGCCATGAAACGCTGTACTGGGTGGGGGGGGCGCATGCGGGCGGTAGCACTGGGACCTTCGGTGGAGCTTCTATGGGGCCACGAGACGCTGCACTTGGTGGGGGAGACGCATGCGGGCGGTAGCACGGGGGCCGTGGGTGGAGCTCCCTATGGGGCCACGGGACGCTGTACTGGGTGGAGGGGACGCATGCGGGCGGTAGCACTGGGACCTGCGGTGGAGCTGCTCCCTATGGGGCCACGAGACGCTGTACTGCGGGCTGTAGCACGGGGGGCCGTCGGTGGAGCTCCCTGTGGGGCCACGAAACCGTGTGCCGGGTGGGGGGGGACGCATGCGGGCGGTAGCACGGGGGCCGTCGGTGGAGCTCCCTATGGGGCCATGAGGCGCTTTACTGGGAGGGGGGGGGGCGCATGCGGGCGGTAGCACTGGGCTCGCGAAAGGGGCCAGACCCGCCAGATGTTTGAGATCGGGGCGGCGCCGCGGGCCGGGTCCATCTGGGGAAGTATCCCTTTCTGACGGTCGCGGGGTACGAAAACTGCCCCCAGAGGCTGAAAAGGGCAACACATTTTCCCCAACCGCAGCTCCCGAGGCTCTCCCCCCCCTGCCTGCTGGCCGGAACCAGCGCTAGACCACCTCACGTTTCCATCCAGCTCCAATCCAGGACGGCCAGGCACCAGGCAAGGAGGTTGCTCTGCCAGCAATGGGGGAGGAGGAGGAGAAGGAGGAGGAGGAGGAGGCAGAGGACGAGGAGGCCCAGTGAAAACGCAAGGGTCATCAACGATGTTGGAATAAACCCTCCCTCCAAGTTCCCCCTTTCATAGGCCCCTACAACGGTACAGTTCCACTGAAGGAACTGCCTCGTTTGAAGGCAACCGTTTGAAGTGAAGCGTGCCAAAACAATGTTTTCGGGATTCCAACGCCACGGATCAACCTGACACTTGCGTCTTGGCGATCTCGAACCGTGCCAGAACAAGATACTTGAGACTTCAACCCAAAGGAAGAACAACCATGTTGGTACGCTGATCATGGGAACCCGTGCAACTCTTGCAATTGTTTAATGCGAATGTGCGCGGCGCTAAAGCGAGAACCACATTTTGAAAACCACCCGTCTTTAATCCGTGAAGCTCTTGCAAATTCTTAAAACGAATGCGCGTGGCGCTAAGGCGAGAACCACATGTTGAAAACCGCTCGCACTCAATCCGTGAAACTATTGCAAATGTTTAAGAAGAGTGCGCGCGGCGCAAACGCGAGAGCCACATTTTGAAAACCATCCGCCCTCAATCCGTGAAGCTCTTGCAAATTCATAAAACGAATGCGCGTGGCGCTAAAGCGAAAAGCGGATTTTGAAAGCCGCCCGCACTCAATCCGTGAAGCTCTTACAATTGTTGGAAACATGTGCGCGGCGCTGAGGCGAGAGCCACATTTTCAAAACCACCCGCCCTCAATCCTTGAAGCTTCTGCAAGTGTTTCAAACGAATGTGCGCGGCGGAAAGGCGAGAGCCACATTTTGAAAACCACCCACCCGCAATCCGTGAAGCTGTTGTCAAATTGAAGAACTCAGCGTCGTAAGTGTTGAGGAGATCTAATGCGAACACCCGGCCCGCCCTAAAAGCTGGCCTCGGGGTGCGACAGGGAGAAGTTAGTTACAAGGAAAAGGAATGGAGGAGGAGGAGGAGGAGAAATTATATTTCTAATTCCATATAAAACGACACTATAAAACGACACCCTCCTCTAGGGAGGTCGCCCAAAAACAATTAGCCTGGCGAAAGACCGAACCATTTACAGTTGTGACTACCGCAATTGTGAATACCTTCTTCGGTGGCGTTCCCTATGGGGCCACGAAACGCTGTACTGGGTGGGTGAAACGCAGGGAGCAAGGGCTGTGCTGGGTGGTGGCGGACGCACGCGGGCGGTGCCAATGGGACTTTCGGTGGAGCTCCCTATGGGGCCACGAAGCGCTGTACTGGGTGGGTGAAACGAATACAGCAATGGCTGTACTGGGTGGTGGCGGACGCATGCGGACGGTGCCACTGGGACCTTCGGTGGAGCACCCTACGGGGCCATGAAACGCTGTACTGGGTGGGCGAAACGCAGGGAGCAAGGGCTGTGCTGGGTGGTGGCGGACGCATGCGGGCGGTGCCACTGGGACCTTCGGTGGAGCCCCATATGGGGCCACGAAGCGCTGTACTGGGTGGGTGAAACGCAGGGAGCAAGGGCTGTGCTGGGTGGTGGCGGACGCATGCGGGCGGTGCCACTGGGACCTTCGGTGGAGCTCCCTATGGGGCCACGAAGCGCTGTACTGGGTGGGTGAAACGCAGGAAGCATGGGCTGTGCTGGGTGGTGGCGGACGCATGCGGGCGGTGCCAATGGGACCTTCCGTGGAGCCCCCTATTGGGCCACGAATTGCTGTACTGGGTGGGTGAAGCGAAGGGAGCAAGGGCCGTGCTGGGTGGTGGCGGACGCATGCGGGCGGTGCCACTGGGACCTTCAGTGGAACCCCATATGGGGCCACGAAACGCTGTACTGGGTGGGTGAAGCGCAGTGAGCAAGGGCTGTGCTGGGTGGTGGCGGACGCATGCGGGCGGTCCCATTGGGAGCTTCGGTGGAGCTCAGTATGTGGCCACGAAACGGCTGTGCTGGGTGGGTGAAGCGCATGGAAGAAGGAGGAAGGAGGGGAGGAGGGGGAGGAGGGGGAGAAGGAGGAGAGGAGGAACGCGGGGACTGTCTCTTCAAAACGATGGCCCAACACCACAGAATGGTTGGGAAAGGACCCAACCATATTCAGTTGTGAGTAGCGCGTTGTGGGTGCCGTTATCGGTGGGACACGACACGCGTGAGGGGCGCGACGTAATGGGTGCGGCGGACGCGTGCGGGCACCCCCACTGGGGCCTTCGGTGGAGCCCCATATGGGGCCACGAAGCGCTGTGCTGGGTGTGGCGGACGCATGCGGACACCCCCACTGGGACCTTCGGTGGAGCTCCCTATGGGGCCACGAAACGCTGTGCTGGGTGTGGCGGACGCATGCGGGCACCCCCACTGGGGCCTTCGGTGGAGCCCCCTATGGGGCCACGAAACGCTACGCTGGGTGTGGCGGACGCATGCGGGCACCCCCACTGGGGCCTTCGGTGGAGTTCCCTATGGGGCCACGAAACGCTGTGCTGGGTGTGGCGGGCGCGTGCGGGCACCCCCACTGGGGCCTTCGGTGGAGCTCCCTATGGGGCCACGAAGCGCTGTGCTGGGTGTGGCGGACGCATGCGGGCACCCCCACGGGGGCCTTCGGTGGAGTTTCCTATGGGGCCACGGAGCGTTGTGCTGGGTGTGGCGGACGCATGCGGGCACCCGCCACTGGGGCCTTCGGTGGAGCTCCCTATGGGGCCACGAAACGCGTGCTGGGTGTGGCGGACGCATGCGGGCATGGGGCCACGAAACGCTGTGCTGGGTGTGGCGGGCGCATGCGGGCACCCCCGCTGGGGCCTCCGGTGGAGCTCCCCATAGGGCCACGAAGCGCTGCGCTGGGTGTGGCGGACGCATGCGGGCACCCCCACTGGGGCCTTCGGTGGAGCTCCCTATGGGGCCACGAAGCGCTGTGCTGGGTGTGGCGGACGCATGCGGGCACCCCCACTGGGGCTTTCGGTGGAACTCCCCATGGGGTCACGAGACGCTGTGCTGGGTGTGGCGGACGCATGCGGGCACCCCCACTGGGGCCTTCGGTGGAGTTCCCCATGGGGCCGCGAAACGCTGTGCTGGGTGTGGCGGACGCATGCGGGCACCCCCACTGGGGCTTTCGGAAGAACTCCCCATGGGGTCACGAGACGCTGTGCTGGGTGTGGCGGACGCATGCGGGCACCCCCACTGGGGCCTTCGGTGGAGTTCCCCATGGGGCCACGAAACGCTGTGCTGGGTGTGG